GCAGATGGGAGAGATATAGCCAGAGGAAATATGAACAAAGAAACTAAATTCCTTGAAATAAGAAAATCTTTTATAAATAAAATATGAAAACACTAACCTGGCTTCTTTGTTTATTTGATCACCATATCCCACTGTCTTCACAACAGTTAATTTCAATTGAACATTTCTTTCTTGAAGTTCATATGTCTGAATTTTAAGTCCAACATTTGAGTAAAAATGTGAGGATTTTTTGTCTTTCAAATTAGCATTGAATAATGTGTCAATGAGTGTTGATTTTCCAATCCCAGTTTCCCCTGTAATAAACATAGATACATTATCTAGGGGCATGAGATGGCTGAGAAGAAGTAACACACTTAACCCCTAAGTGTTATAAAGGATCTCAAATACATCAATGACTATAATATCCATTAAAGTATACATGCTTCTCTTGACTCTCTCAGTCATTAATATAATATAGAAAATATAAACACAAAGATAATCAGATTTTGAAGAGCACTGAAACCTTTAAAGAACAAAAGTCTAAGTAGTATGACTAACATGATGGAAACAAATACAGATCAACAGCCATGGTCTTGAACTAACAACACCAGTGTTATACTACTTAAGATAAGTTGAAATGAGCATTTCAAAAATTAATTAATAATTGAGATGAGAAATCAGGCACTTACCCACACAGAGAATATTAAAAGAGAATCCTTGTTGGATAGATCGGTTCACCAACTGATGAGGCAAACATTCAAAACCAAAATGACCAAGCATTTTTAAACAACGGACACTATCTCCTTTGGGCTTAAAAAAATAAAAATAAAATATTTAATTAGAATTAGTAATATCATTTAAAAATATAATTTTATATATGTTAAAGAAACTAGAATTATCATTTGAATATTGTAACTCAGACAACATTCAAATGAAGTAAATTTGTGAGCAAATAAGTCTTTGTACAAACACATAGATTTTTATTTCAATTAAAAAAATAGTAAATCTGGAGGAGGAAGTGGAAGATGGTCGTGGAATAGGAGGACCCTAGGCTCATCCTGTCTCACCAACACAAATAGATAACTATAAAATCATCCTAAATACCCCAGAAATCAATCTGAAGAAGGACAGAACAAACTCCAAAACTAGTAGTGTGAGTGGGGCAGGACGTGTGCCACCCACCCGAATGGAGACCCACAAGAAAGAAATTTTTATTGATGTTTTAAGAAGCTGTGGCTCCTTTAAAAAAAAAA